TCACACCTACCTTTCACCCTTGTTCGTGGATCCTCAATTCAATGTTAACTGCCCATCTAGAACCCACAACAACAATGTTACTTCTTCTTTTCTTTTCTTTTACTTATTCTTTTCAATTAGGGTGATGGAGGGTTAAGTTTTTTATTTTTTATTTTTACTAATCCATATTCTAAATCAACTTTAATGTCTGGGAAAAGAGATTAAACTCATGTGAAGGGGGCATGTATACTGCCTTGCCCAATTATCCTGGCGTACATCATCAAGGAGCAAGTACACTTCATTGGCCAACTGGTTTAACCCACATCTACAATAAAGGGTTGCCTGTGTAGATTTTAAAGTTATTTATCCCCTTTAAGCCGGTTCAAATCTGTAAAAACCTTGCAAAAGCGCCTAAGAACCTTTCTCTAAATACTCTTGAAACCCTGTTTTTTTAAAGCCCGTTTTAAATTGAATTATCATAATAATGTTTTGTTAGTGAGAAGCCAACTGTCCCTGCAAAAGCCAGCTAGGACATCTCCTTCCCAAGTAATAAGGGAGAGAGAGAATGCATGCATCACATGGGACATACACAAAAGCTTTGCATTAGAGAACAAATTAAAGCATATGATGACTAATGAAGTGTGATGAGAGCAGTGGGGACTAGTCGCAATCCATGGGGTGTGGGGGGACCCTCCTAAATAAAGTCAAGTTGATAATTGATTCTAAATTGAAAGTTGCTGTGGTAAATAATGCTTGAGGCCGAAGTGTCACTGATGATGACCTTATCACCGGAGTTATTAATTATTATATGGAGAGATTAAATCTTGCTAATCAGCTAGTCACACATCTAAAGTTTCCCGACAAGCCTGAGAAACTTCCTACTAACAAATTGACAATTTAAATCATGTCTGTGTTCCTAATGGTTTTGTTTCCCTTATCAGATCAGATTAAATACAATTAGCAAGCACTAGAGTGATTAGTCATATAAGCACAATAAGCTGTCACATTATGGAAGTCTTTATCATAGTGTTCGAGGCTGGATCGGATCCTGAGAGAAATTTTTCAGTATGACCGTAACACACGCACACAAAAATTGTTAAGAGAAACGATGAATGATTTTCTGGTTTCAAAACACAGGAGGTGATAAATTAAACAAACTGGGGAATTTAACACTCTCTATGTATATATACTAAACAAGAACCCTAAAAACAAATCAAAACCATTATACAAGCAAGAGAAGAAAAATGAGAGGGCTGGTGATATAGATAAACCTCGGAATCTCAAACCAGTGAGATCACAAGAATATTACAAAAATCGGTATCTGCCATGGGAGGAGATCTGCTGCAGTTGGGTTTGATCTTAATATGTTAAGAGGCTGCTCAGCCTTGTCCATTGTTGAAACCATCATATGGCTTGGTGGACTTGGTTGACCTCCTCTTCAAGACCACAACCCAAGTAATTGCTTCCAATAACAAGGCAACTGCACCCAAGGAAATAATCACAATTATGTAAGTGGATCTCCAATGCTTGGCAGGATTTAGTATGTCCAGGCCTTTGAACACATTCAGAATTCCGAGGATGAGAATGGTGTATCCGAGGGTGTGGTGGTAGATGTTCCAGTAGAACCGGTACTTGTGCTCCTTCTTCGGTCTCAAGAACAATGCAAAAATCTGCAAGATCATCCAGAGAAGAATATTCCCATTAGAACAAAACAATCCAAAATTAAATACCACAGAAAAATATTCAGCCTCGGTTCGATTCGACAATACTGCCTTCAGTAACTGCAAATATGGACTGATTCATACGAAATTGAATCAAGATGGCATCAAACAACAAATGTGCTAAATTCAGATGTAAATTCTTAGTTTATGTACTGCATATAATTAAAAACTGCCAGTTACCCTTTATCACAGAGCACCAAAAAAAAAAAACATTTAGGCAGATCAAAGTTTATTATATTACCTTTGGATCATATTATTTCTTGAAGTTACTGTAGGTAAGATTGGATGGGAATTTACCTGGACAGTTGCAAGGGAGAACAGGGTAATTCCGATTTTCCGGTGAGCAGAGTATACAACCCCTTCGGACTCACTTCCGAGCTTAATTCCGGTAGCCCAGCCGGCGACCCCAATGGCATAACCAGATACCTGGCAGAATATATGAAGATAAAACCATGCTGGATCCGCAGACTGAAACGTCCTCAAGTACCTTGCTATGATGATCCCAATCGGAAAGAGCAACCCCCAACTCACAGCATTCAAAATTCCATGAATCTGAAACAAACCCACAAACACAATTAAAAAAGAAATAAACTTTATCAAATTTTATCAAAACCCATCTCAAATCCAGTTCTGTTCTCCACTATTTGCACAAAATTTTAGCAAAATTTTCACGAATACCCACTTCCCCTTTACTCAAAGTCTTAATCTTTAAGCCACTACTGAAGCAAAGCAACTATCTTTTCCTTCTAATTTTCCCAACTTTTGAAAATGGAAATTCAGAGGGATTTAAATTAACTCACATTCCTCTTCTTCAACCTGGAGTCTCCGGTGGTGGGTGCGGTGGTGGTGGTGCCTCCGGTCAAGCTCAGGCTCCCCTTGGCTTGGAGATTGTCTGTGTTGAAATCATGTTTCGCCGGAAACCCATTTGAAACAGAGGGCCCCACTTGCCAAACCTGGTTCACGTTCTCCATCTCCTCCACCTTCAACTTCGCAAAGAGCCTAAAAACGCCGCCGGATGACTCGGCGCTGGTGTCCCAAACTTCGAAAGCGAGCTTCGACTCGACGATATCGGTGTAGGAGCTGATGTTGAAGGTCTTGACGTCCATGGAGCCGTCGGATTTCTTGTAGGTGAGCAGGGTCTGGGCCCCCTTCATGCCGGTGCTCGTCGGATTGATGGCCCACGCGATCCAGCCGTCGGATTTGGCTGGAGTCGCGATGAAGGCGATTGAGAGAGTGGAGTTGGTCGAGTCGTAGGTCCAGTGGAGGTAGGCTTTGAGTGTGGGGAGGTCTACGCAGTTTGAGTAGAGCTTGTTGTTGGTGAAGGTTTGGGTGGTGCAGGTGAGTGAATGCGCGGGTGAGATTAGCAAAACCAGAGCGAGCGTTAGCCCCAGAAATGCCAGAGAAGGAGAAGAAGAGGAAGAAGAAGAAGCCATGGATGGATACGGAGAAGAAGATGAGTAACTGCTAAGTAGTTGATGCTGATGATGAAGAACAAAGGCTCCCCACTAATTTTTGGCGGAATTTATAGAGAGAGAGTGAGACAGCGAGAGACGCAAAGGGTAATTATCGCCTGCGGGTGGATCTACTGAATGGATTTTACATAAATACAATCAGCCAATACGGATATGAAACGTGGAACAGAGTTGCTGAAACCATGTGATGGACGCGTTAAATAATAAAGAAATGGAGATTGCATGAGAGAACGAAAACACGATTAATACAGAATAAAAAACAGATCAGCAACAAAAATTAATGGATTATGTTAACTTAATCTTCGCTTAGATGCCGTAAACCTGTCCACTTTCATGCAACGTGCATTTAATTATGGAGATCTTTTATGTATAGATAATAGAGTAAATTTAGGGAAAATAAAAAATCCCAAAATTGAGAAATTGCAAATTTCCAATCCATTTTTGCACGGTTGGAGTTATTATTAGTAAAGAATCTGGCTGATTATAATTGTAGATTTTGGAATTATGTGCCAACCACAGTGATTTTTGGCCTACCAGATGTGACAGGGATGAGATGATGCAAGGCTTGTGTCATGGTGACATCAATATTCTTGTGTGTATGTATAGGAAAATAAAATTGTGACATATTTTTTTTCCCATTCAAATTGTTCAATTGGGGATGAATAAGTTAGCAAATCCCCCTCAAAGTTATTAGGAAGTATTAGTTCGAGTCTAAGTATTTGTGTAGAGTGTGTGAGTTTAGTATGTGTTGAAAATATTAAGGATTACTTATACGTTGTTATTGAATGACGTGCAATGCTTAAAACGAATGTATGCATACTTATACCGCAAAACCAAAAAAAAACCAATATGAATATATACAAGACAACAAACAGCCCAACCAAAAACGACAGCTAATGAAAACGAGGAAACAAACACCTACAAAAACAAAACCTGTAAAAGCAAAAAAAAAATAGAAGTGAGGAAGAAGACCTGCCCCTGGGGTTGTTCCATTGTGATTCGATTATGTAGGGTTCATACTAAAAGATATTTTCTTGAATTCTTTTGTAGCAGATTTGTCGTCATTGTTTCGAACCTTGTAACGACGAAAAGTTTCGTGCAAATTGCAAGTGGATTTATATATATATATTTTTAAATGACGAGAGGCCAGAAGAAGAAAAAACACACAAAAATGAGTGTTTGAAAGCAAACGCATGAAAAGGGAACAAAAGAAAGTGTCGTTTTGGTGCGTTCCTTCCAATTACTTATGCAAGAGGGCAAGAACTACACGCTAGCCAACTTCTAACTATAAGTTTATCTGGGTAGGGTACGTGTGGAGGACACAAAAGCAAAGGCAGTGGTGGACACCGGACAAATTTGTATTTTATTTTTGACCTATTTAATACAGACGAGTATTTAGTTACTCAAAAAAGAATTTTACTAGTGTGAGTTGCCCACACGCTTCATATCCGAAACTTAACTATTGATGTTAGTCTACACGTTTTAATGGTTAGAAATCGCTTTTAATGCGACGGTTATGTAAATATTGTGTCAATAGAAAAATCACTGATTTTCACCATAAATATTAAAATTTAGACGTGACAAGCATTTCCTTTTAACGTTCACTTTCTAATTTAATTGACATTTTTGGTTTGTCAATTATCACCATCTTTATTTTTTTATTTTTATAAAAAGAGTCAACCTACTATGAGCCGCTAAATTTGCTAAAGTAATAATGTTGAAATTAAATTAATTGCACATGCATTTCCCCCCTCATCGATCCAAGATGCAGAGGAAAAGAGGAGATAATAATTAAATCAATTGGGAATTTATAAATATCATGGCATATATATAGCAAATAAATATTATTTCACTTAAACGTGCTGAGACCTCCATCTCTCACTTCGATACAATCAATCACAATATTAAGAAAGAATAAAAACCCGACCCGAAATACTAAATTTAGAAAGCAATGAGAGCTCCAAGAACCAAAACCGAAACAGACAACAAACCCATGTTTCCTCCACTCCCAATCCTCAAAGCTCCGCTAACACCACCACCAATGCTGTTGGTGGTGGAATTAGCACCAGTGGGAGTGCCCGTGGTGGAATTAGCACCAGCGGGAGTGCCCGTGGTGGAATTGGCCACCAAGTACAAGGTGCTAAACGACTGGAGATTGGGTGGGGCGAAGTCATGCTTCACGGGGAAGCCGGAGGTCTTGTTGATGGCGGGGCCCAACTGCCAGACCTGGTTTACGGACGCTGCGTCTTTCGGGACCTTGACGACGGCAAATATCGTGAACGTGCCTTTGGAGAACTCCGCGCTGACGTCCCATACGTCGAAGGCGAGTTTTCCCGGCACAATGGAGCTGTACGAGGTGATGTCGAATGTTTTGACGACTGGGGCTCCATCCTCGGTTTTGTAGGCCAGGAGGGTCTGGGCCCCAGACATCTTGGTCGCGGTGGGGTTGATGGCCCACGCCACCCAGCCTTCAGATTTGGACGGCGTCGCCACGAAGGCGATGGAGAGAGAGGAGTTGGAGGCATTGTAGGTCCAGTGGAGGTAGGAGCTGAGGAAGGGGAGGTCGCTGCAGTTGGCGTAGAGCTTGTTGTTCTTGAATGTCTGTGAGCTGCAGGTGGCTGCCTGTGCTGGTGATATTACCAGAGCCAGGAGGGAGATCCATGAGACTGAGATAAGAAGAAGAGGATGAAGAGAGGAAGCCATTGGAGAATATGGAGAGAGAGAGAGAGAGAGAGAGAGAGAGAGAGAGAGAGAGAGAGAGAGAGAGAGAGAGAGAGAGGGGG